ATAAATAAATCATGGAAATGCTGGATGAAAAACCTGTTGTAATGGCAGATGGTGTCAGTTGATGTCACTTGTGCACTGACTGAAATCACTTTACAATCAGATCATTTACTGAAACAGGCCGCTCGGCCTCGGGGAGTTGTGGTGTTTGATCGGTACCTGAATGTTCGTGCACCACTGCGGCTTTTTCCACCTCTTCTTGACTAGTCTCCATCAGGGTGCTAAACAGGGTACCGATGGGGTCCAGAGGGTGTCCCACCCAGCCCTCCAGGTTTGTCACTGATGTCATTCCTTTGTGGAGCAGCTCTGTGTAGCACAGACACACAACTTTAACAAATCCTTTTATTCAAGTGCTGTCTTAAAGGTAGGAAATGAGATAAACATTTGTTAAATATTTGGCATTGTCATTTTATCAGCTAGCTATAAATCCACTAAAACGACACAGAAATTAATGTGATATTTAACATTTAAGTAAAACATTTCTTTCTATTACTATTTATATTTATGTAATAAAAATAAAAATAACCACTTGGTATTGTACAATCAGATTGTGAAAAAAACGGACCTTTTTTATGAGTGCAGAAGAACTCCAGCTGTTTCTGCTGTTGCCTCCTCAGTGTGTTGACTATGGCGATGGCCAGTCTCAGTGCTTCTTTGGGGTAACCATGTGATCTCAGTGCATCCACTCGGGCGCAGGCAGTAGGGACGTGCTCTGCAGCATGGAGGGTAGACAAGTGAAAAAAAAAAAAAAACAGACATGAGAAAATAAATAAAACATTTAAAGAAATAAACAAAACATTTGTCATCCCTTTAGGGCCAAATTGTCTCTTACCGTGCCAGAGAGGCCAACCTCGGGTGTCAAACAGAGGGTTGTCCTTCTTATTGTGGTAACAGTATTTGGCATAGTGGTCCTTTGAGATGATGTGCTGCAGGTGAGGGTCCTGCCAGTGCAGGTCACAGGCTTCGATTGCTCGTGTGAACACAGTCCTGTGGGGCTGAGTCAGTGGGTCTGAGAGGGAAGACAACAGCATTTATATATGGATACAGGTGTATATATATATATGTGTGTGTGTGTGTGTAAATCACAGTATAAATTTTACTATTATATTTTTTATTGACAAGAGCTATAATAAATACAAATTAAAACAAACAAAGTCAAAGTCATGGGGTAGAAAATTGAAAGATGTTTTTTTTTAGTTAAAGAAACTGTGATGTATTGAAGGCACAAAACTGCACTGTGATTGGTGGATCTTGACTCTTAAGTCAGTTTCCTTAAAGCTGATGCTCTCAGGTGAGATATTTCTACTGAACACACTCAATTCAAAAAAACCTAAATAACCTGAAAAAAAGTCTTCATTAAACAACCAGAAGTGAAAACAAATAAATTGTTTGCATGAAAAACAAAGTGCTGAGTAAGAGGAGTCCAGAGCAAAAAGGCACATGTGTTTACTTCTGAGGTAGCGTCTCACCTGGGTTGCCAGGAGGCCCCTGAGGCAGAGCATTGGTCAGGTTGGTCAGCTCGCTGCCATGGTTACCATCCTCCAAGGGACACACATCCACACTGCTCCACCTGCAAAGCTGCCGGAGCCATAAAGCTTTCTGTTCAGGTTTACAGTGGGGGTTCAGCACGATGCACATCCACAGAGCCCCTACATGAAAACACACAAACACACACAGTGAAAACACACCGCGCTGTTGTTCTGGAGGAAAATACCTCCAGGTCTGGCTGTGTGAATAAAATATTATTTCAATTGTGGGTCTTCAAAAAACTAGTTAGTGTTTGTCTCTCAAAGGAAAACTTAAAACCAAGAACGGCAGCAACAGCAGGGAGGGTTGAAATGTAAAGATTTATCACAGGACTGCCCTCTGGAGGCGTGTTCTGTTGACGCTACTTACTCTATCAGCACAAAAAACATATGAACGACCCTGAAACCTCAGCAGCTGCTGCTAACGCACAAACTGCTTCACACTCGGGATTGGTTCTTTTTCTCCACATGAAGTCCCTTCCTAAATTTTCAATTTTCAATATTTTAACGCCTTCCATCCAGACATTAATGTATCATGTCATCATTACTAAACAGATGGAGAGGTTATGTAGGTTTGAGAACAATTCGCATAAATACTATCCCAGCGTTTCTTAAACAAAATCAGGTTGGGATCTCACATTTGGCTTCTGTTGCTATTTGTGAGCACAACATTGAGAGACATTAAAATAAACGGTAAAAATCATAATAACAATAACTTGAAATGTTATTGAATGATTCATAAATATACTCCAGTCAAATAATCAATTTAGACGTCATTACGTTCTGTACAGAAAACCTTGTCCACCTTTGTTTTATAAATCCAGTTCCACATACTCCATTTTTTAGGTTCTACTGAAAGGTGTTAAATGTTCTTTTTATCATTTTAAAACCTAGCTCTAGCCAAACAATTTTACATCATGCTACCACAGTGTGCACTCCAACCTCATTCCTGAAAAGCTGCAGGAAATTGTGAATTGCAAAATGTATTAAAATAATGTTTATAAGATGAAGTTTCACCTTAGAATTACTGCTGATTGGGAAAAAAACACAGATCAGTCTGTTAGCCTTTAATACATAAAATCCTTGAATTGATTCTGCGATATGAGCTGTTCAATTTTCTAATTGCCAATTAAATAAGGCTGTCAACACACTGGGCCGACTGGCACTGATCTAAAGATTAGAGCAAAACACTGAAGAAAATCAAGGGATGACAGGGAAAAATATTCAATTTGAAAAAGAGCGTGAGGTGACAGGGGAGAAAGAAGGCAGTGAGAGTGGAATTGAACAAGAAGGTGAGGAATGGGGGAGGGTACCCGAAGAAGCTGCACCTTCTATCTCTTTGTTACTGCTGCCAAACCAGGATTGAGGTGGAGGGGGAAAAAAGAGTGATGAAATGCAGAGCAACAATATGCAAGCGATAAAAATGAACATAGAACATGTAGTATACCTGCCAAAATATTTTTTTTCTTTCATTAAAAAATATATTTTTTGGACACTGTCATTAAGAGATTAGTATTGAGGAAAAAAAAGAGAAGACCTGTTTTTAAGAGGTAAAAATAGATTTCTTTAATTTTTTTTTTTATATAGTTTTATAGATGAAAAAAATCCATCTCTAGGGCTAATGTGCACTTAGACCTAATGGCAACCTAACACGGTAAACAAAGGGCGGCGGCTTCCATGGTAACTCAACAACCAGTAGACATT